GGCATGTGCCTCTGGATCTGTGTGGGGTGTGGGCAGCGTGTTCTGCAGCTGCAGGCTGAGGCTGGGGCTGTGCAGGGCTCTTCTCAGTGCGTGGGGGGGTGGGGAGTTGAACGAGGGCTGCACTTAGGGCAGGCAGTGGCAGCACTAGGAAGGAGGGTTACAGGGGGGCTACAGTGAAACTTGGGGTGGTTGCAGCCCCCCCCATAACCTCCCTCCCACTGCCACTGCCACCTGCCCTGAGTGCAGCTGTGGCCCAATTCCATTCCCCACGTACCCCAAGCTCCGGGAAGAGCCTGGCACAGCCCCTGCCCACAGCTGCAACCCACCCTGCCCACGCCCCATGCAGATCCAGGGGCACATGCCCCCCTATGCCTTCCTGGGATGCGCGCAGGGGGCACACCCCCCAATCCTGTGTCCCCTGGGTGAGCCACGGCTCTGTCCTGTGTCCCACCCTAGCTGGGCAGCACCTGTCCCAGCCCCTGCCCCTGCCCCAATCTCTCCCTCACCGCGGGGGGTGTTGATCTGCCCCCCCTACCTCTCTTCCCTCTCCTTTCCCCTTCCACCACAACAGACTTACCAGCTACAGGGAGAGGCCTCCAAGCTGCCTGCATGTTGCACTGTGGCTGCGTGCATACACGGGCATTTATTGGCCAAATTATTGGCCACATCAGGCCAATTTCCAATACAATCAATTTTCTTTATATCAGCACCAATATACCTCTAGTTAAAACAATACATTTTGCTGGTACTAGAAGTTTACAGCTCTGGACTGCTGTTCTATCTATAGAATAGTTTTGAAATGTCAAAACTCTAATGATCTAACTCACATTTTTAAAATCCACTTTGTCCCTGCTTTTCAAGTCTTATATCACTGAATACCAGTTGCCACTCCTTAAGGAGTCAGTTGGGATTTTTTTAATTTCTGCTGTGAGACAACCACTACTTTATTCTTTAAGCAGCATACAACACATTTCTGTGGTTGCTTTTTCAGCCTTGGCAGGCTTAGTAAATATTACCAATGATGTTTAGCATATGATTTTGCTTTGGATCCATTAGTAGCTTATGTAAGTTTTATGAGAATTTGGGTGTGACATTTTCAGAATAGATGTATTGTTCTGACCAGCATTTGTTTATGTATTCCTAAATTGTATTGACTTGCCACCTTCTCTTTGGAATAAAGGAAAAATTTAAACTGTTTTTTTTTCTCTCCTAAAACAAACAGGTGCCATTAAAATGATCTTAAACTTTAGAGTGGAGACAACTAAAGTCTCCTAGCTGAGAGTTATATTGGCACCTTGTCAGAAGCCTGAATCCAATTTGCAGAAATTTGAATGGATTTTAGCCCATTTCAATTTTAATATACAGCTATCCCTAATTAAAACTACTTAACCCAGCATGAAATGTTCTGTTTTGAGTGAGATAGTGAATAGGTCAAGGAAAAGAATTGTATCCTGGGATCTAAAGTCTTTTAGAACCATGCCTACCCTATCTAACTCAGTGGACTGCACTCTTGTACTAAGGGTGTAGAATAAGTGTGATTTCGTCTTGTGAGATTACTGTCCACAAAGGAAGTGGGCAATTTCTGACAGAGCTAAGCAATAGGGTGTGCTAAGTGAGCCCTATTTGATTTGGATTCAGATTTGGCCCAAATCAGGGACAGTGATTCAGTTAGTTGGTTCGGATCACTGTCCCCGATTCGATTTGGCCAAATCCAAATGTGAAGATTCAGTGCTGATTTGGAAAATCAGCGACTTGGATACAGACACAGCTTTAAAAGTTTTTTCTACATTCCTTGAGGTAGCAGGCGTAACGTGTGATCGCTGCAATACTGAGGCACACGGAGCATCCCACAGGAGGGGGGGGCCTCCACATGCTTGGCAGTAAACCTGGAAGTGGACTGGAAGTACTTCTGGTCCACTTCCAGGTCTGCCAAAGAGCATGCTGGGGGCCCCCCTGTGCCTCCCAGGCTCAGCGATTGGCCTCAAGGGGACCCCAGGTGTCCCTCCCAGCCCCAGGAGGCACCAGTCACTGAGCCAGGGATTGCTGGGGGTGGGGCTGGCGTGCTACCCAGTAGCCCCAGAAGTGCTTTTCTGGTCCACTTCCTGGTCTGCTGCTGAGTGCACTGGCAAGCCCCTGCCACTCCTGTGGGACACTCCATGTGCCCCAGCATTGCAGCATTCATAAGCTGCCTGCTACCTAGAGGTGTGTAGAAAAAACATTTAAAGCTGTGTCTATGTCTGAATCACTGAATCTCTCCAAATGGATTCAGAGGGTTTCAGTTTGAATCAGAGAGATTAAAGGGTCCTCTGATTTGATTCGGATTCAGTGATTTGGCCACAAAAATCAGGCCGAATCTCTGCCATATCAAATCAGGGACTGAAGCTTTGCACAGCCCTACTAAGCATTGCTATAATATTTTCATAGTTTCTAGGGTCGGAAGGGACCTGAGTAAATCGTCTAGTCCGACCCCCCGCCATGGCAGGAAAGAGTACTGGGGTCAA